TTGCGTAGTTACGATCGATTTGAAGAAATAACTACGATCACTTCATTCAAAAGCTACACATAAAATAGTTTCGCTTTTGACTATTTGAAATAATCGGCCATCGAATTTGAATTCGAACAATCACACAGTTATTATTTCATGAAGATAGTACGCATTTAAAAAGAACAGTTTTTAACTAAACTAATTTGAACGCAATTGAACTAGAACAAATATTGAATACACCATCAAATGTGATGTCAAATCCTCATTCGTGTTCATGGCTTATATGACACAATGAAGCTCCAGCAATAAGTATCAAATACAAATTGAACTGGCAACGTTAAGTAGAGGTAGAGTAGTTAGACCGATCATCAAATCTCTTTGAAAGAAATTCCGTCGTTCACAAAAATAGCAAGTGAAACTTAAAAGATAAGACCTTTCTACATTTTATTTAATTAATGTTATATAAAACCTTATAGCCAACATCACATATATTTTTATATATGTACGAATATACGCCGTAATTATTTCTTCGTAACAATTCGCCTATATTTAACAGTCTTAAGCAGGTATTTTTGCATTGTGATTTTTTGTTGGTGAATTTATGAACAAAATGGCGGCAACTCGAAACTAGAGGAATTCAAAAAAAAGTCTATGGTTTTCAAATAAAAATTGTTAATTATGTCTTAATCTAATATGGAATTTTTTGAAAATTTATTTTTATCCAACAATTTCGAAAGCACGTAAAGTATTTAATAAATTAATTGAAAATCCTGAGCGTAATGAACTAAAAAATAGTTTACTTTCATAATGCTTTTCCTAATTTGGTGAACAACGACTCGAAGAAAAAGTTTAATAAATCACAAATAATTTTCCACCCGAACGTGCTCAGGGTCAAAAATTATTTGTGATTTATTAAATTTTTTTTCCAAATCGTAGTTATATTGCTCATTTCATTTGCATAAAAATTCCAAGTGGTATCACACGACCGATGTCAAAATTTCAATTGATTGTTTACAACGATCGAATTAAGTTAGTGAGATTAGTCAAGTACGCATGTCCAAGCACTCTGTCCTTTTGCCCTGGTTTTGACGACTTCTTAAGCCTCGCTAAGTGTAGACCTCTTGGGCCTCAGTCAGCGCGCTCTAAATCAAAAATAAAATATAGATATTATGCTCAATAGCTCTTGAGGGTGTAGGGATTTGAGAACAAACATATTCAAGTGATTTTGAAAGTGATAGTATAAAGTGCATTTCCGTATTGAAAGTAAGATCATAAGTGATGGCCATAACATTAGGCTGATTTGGTAATAAATAGTCATTGTTTTAGTCAAGTTTATTTTTTCCATCCAGTAAAAAATAGCATACGAAATTGAGAAAAACAAAAAGTGAACGCACATTTTTATTGGATAAGAGAAGCCGCGGAGAACCAATACTGGTTATTGAGCAACACAAATGTGAAATATGGTATTCCATCATGTTTTTAGTTACTTTTTCAATTCGGAAAACTATATAAAAAAATGCTGAAAGCATATAGTGAACTCCTTAATTACGAAGATAACTAACCAAATTTTCAAGCTAATTCAAAATCGAACCATCTTTCATTTCATATCGTTTGTATTGTTTTACAGTCTCCCTTCTTCTGTGACAAACATATTTTACTATCATACATGGAAATTCAGCATGTTAAGAAATGAAAACAGTACGCCCAATTAACTTCTTACTCCAATCGATATCGTTCTTCCGTAACAACTAAAATCAAAACAATACATAAATAAAATTCCCCGAAAATTTCGGAACATAGTCATTACCAATGAAATTTAGTTTTTGTGACTTTCATTAAATGCAAGGAGTGTGTTGAACAGATTTTTGCATTATTCTCTCCGACGCAGGCTTGATATAATATATAGTTAATATTCATTTTTTTATTAGATGTTATCCATTTTCACTTTATGCATGAAATGAGAAAAGCAGTCGCTTATGTTTAGAGTTATTATATTCTTGCAGTAGCGTAAATCAGGGGTGTGCAAACTGTGGCCCGCGGTCCAATTTCGGCCCGTAATGAAGAATTAGGCGACCCGGGGAGAAATGACAATTTTGGATGGTGTGCCCGCGTCTTAATCTGGTACGTGCGAGCAATTCCAATCGTTTTGCGTCGCAAAGCCTATACCAATACCTGAGTGCCAATGGCATATTAGCAAAACTAGCTAGCAAAATTCTGTTACAAAATACACAATGTTATAAAAACTTGTTTCTCATTGAAGTCGGTGTGTCGGTGTCACCATTTCAGCAAGGACCTCTAATAATGTCGTAAGATCACTAACAAAAATGAACATTTACTGTGCCTGCAAGTGCAACTACTAGAAAGTCTAGCTGTAATAAAGGTGCGGCCCGCGGCGTCAACCAGTTACTTGTATTTGACCCTCCAGTGAAAAAAGTTGCACACCCCTGGCGTGAATGGTAAATTCGTTTATTTTTGCTTCAGTATAGGATTAGCCTAGGAACAAATTTCTTTTTTTAAGGAGGGAGGGACGATATTGTGAAATGATATCTTCTCAGAGTATCTAAATCGTGTTAGGGGAAAACTAGCCAATTTTGGCTAGCCAACGAATATTAGTCATTCATTTATTTATCCCACATGGCTAAACAAATTTTGGCTTGTGATAGACAAAGGGCAGTTGAAGTAACAAAATAAGCAAAACGCTGTAGTATCCTGTTTTGCCTGACAATTTTAAGGGCTAAGTGATGAAAACTTTATTTATTGTATATATAGCAACAAATATATCTATCATGGATCGGCTTAAAATTGCGTAATAGTATCAAAAACAATTGACTTTTTTGCTTATATTATTTATACAAGCGATTACTGTCAGTCACGCAAATCGCAATTCCGTCTCATCCAATTAACTGCTGACGGAAGGCGCCAGGTTTTCGACCGGTCACTCAGTTTGTCAACGTTCTTTTGAACTTTCCCACGTAGAAGAGTAATCAGTGATTACGGGGATAAAAAAGATGATTTATATTTTCTGCGTGAATTGTTATTTTTAAAGAAAACTTTCTCTAGGTTCATATCGTTGAACAAGTTTGAAGCTCTCGATTTGAGGGCGTTTTTGTACATGATGATACTCCAAATCATAATTTTATAAGCTTTTTTTTTTTATCACAGAAGCAATTTGCCCGATCAGCAATATTGACAAGCATATTAAACAATATTGCGAAACACCGAGATATCAATCCGTGTTTCAATTATCGCGTATTGGACGGGGCAAGTTCTCATTTAGCAACGCAATTTAGTCACAAGCTGGACGAAAGGCATGTAGAATGACATACTTTGGCAAAGTAAGAGAGATGTCCAGAATGACACACCAGTCGAGTGCCGAGAAAAACGACAAAACTTCCAAGAGGTGCGTGGCGAAGGAGTTGAATGGCCTCTTTAGGGACATCTAGTGGCTTCATTGAAGATCAAAAGATTTATTCATCAAAATCGAACTTAATAATCGAATAATCACGAATCACACGGCATAGTATAACAAGTGATCACAACTTAAATAAATTTTATTAGGATTGTGATTTTTTTCATTGAACTAGAAATAGCCTAATTGTTGTATATATGTAATATCACCAGACTGGAAATTTAAACTATACTACGGTATATTATTTTAAAGCTCATGTTAAAATTCACCCCATCACCATCGCAGGATTTGTGGCAAAATCGTTATTGGAATTTTCTAGTAAATCAAATTTAAGAGGCCCATGATAATACAGAAATGCGAGCACGTAAAGATTGCCTCGAAAATATGATTTTGTGTCGAATCAACATTAAAAATCTATTCAAAATTTACCAGATATATATTATAAGTTAACTTGAATTGCCATTAATTACCAATTTTCAACAGCTGTTGGAAAACACGAGTTGTAGATTGTAAGAATATGAATACCCGGTAATTTTCTGATTTTTTGTGATTTGCACGTCTTGTAATTAATACCTATCATTCTTTTGTTAGCTACGAGTAAAGTTTACTTAGGAAACGTGTCAGAAGACAATAAGACGATGTCGACAAGGTGACGCCTCCACTTAGTTTAGCAAATAAATTGTTTTACAGATCAGTTTCACCGTGAAGTCAATTTCGTTCAAATTTTTTCCAAGTTTCAGTGACCAAAACCTTCCTACCCTATGTGAGATGACAGGCTACGGTGAAAATCCTGTTCACACAATGTGGTTCAAACATAATTTACACAAATAAGTACGCTAGGTGAATTTTTTAAATTCCTCATGACTCTTTCCTTTAATGACCTTTTATCCCTAGTTCCCTCGAGTAAAAGTTTTGTGATTGGAATATTCCACGCCATAGTTCATTCAATCTAACATTCTAACGCATCCTTCTGTGATCTCTTCGAAGAACGCTTTTGTCAGTAAATTACTCATGACTCTCTAGTTAAAGACATTTTATCCCTAGTTCATCTTGAGTAAAAGTTTTGTGATTGAGATACTACACGCCACAGTTCTTTCAAATTAGCACAAAACGCTTTTGTCGGTAGCATAAAATAAGCTTAAACGTCTACGTAATGGATTCGTTTACTTCAACAATCCACGATGCTGAGGCTCTGCCCACTTATTTATCACATTTTGGAAAATAAAGGTAATGTAAGCCGTTACATGCCAATCAGACTTGCTCGAAGGCAGATTCCACCACGGCGCAGCCAGCAAACGACACCACTTGTGCAGTGGTTAACGACGTGCGATAAAATTGGACACGAAAGATCTACGGATCGTTTCGCTTAATCTTCGTCGACGTTGTTGCACAAATATTACTTGCTTCGGAACCAATGGCTGGATGGTGGCTAGTACTTTTATTTCAAACTTAGCTCAGGGACGTACAAGACCCGATATTTCACCCTAAATTTGCTCTTTCGTCCTAATTAAAAGGGGAGACTGCTTGCTCACTTACTGTGCTTGGCCGCCCTCATCGCGCTTTATTTACCACTGGCTAAAAATGAAATACTTTAAAGAACGACAAGACAAAGGATGAGAGGCTAGATTTAATAAAAATAATAATATTGCATCTTTAACAACTCCATAAGTTTTGACAAATCTTGAAGAATGATAACAAAAAGAAAACGCAGAAACAGTGGATTTATATTTAATCATGAAGCGAACGTCAACTTTTATTCAAATTTGCTGGCGTGCAAACTACCGCATCACCACACACATGAATTAAGCATTGAGCTTGGTTTTTAGCGACACTCTCACTTAATGTACATTGCTCAATGCGGTAAGAAGTTAGGGCATTGCCACCTAACGCCGAAACGTGGGCTCTCAACATTGCTTGTACCTCGGCAAACACTGTGTGCGCAAACCAATTCGATCCGGTACCCCGTTGTAATTCAGTCCCAGGCAATCGTTCCTCACCACCTCTGACGGCGGAAGTTTCTCGAATTAAAAACATATTCACAAAACCAATATGACGTTGTATTCGACGACCAGGAACATAACACATCGGTACAATCTCAATGTGGCGACTGGCACTTCCTCCAACTGACGAACCATCGCTTGAATGACGACTTTTCATGCTAGATCTCGACACGTTACTTTTATCAAAACTAGAGCTGTCTTTTCCGTGATTAGCGGCTTTAAATATATCTAATCTAAGAGGTGATGAAGATCCGGAAGATGACGTTAGAGAGTTTTGTCCCGACGATTTTATATCAATAGATCCGCTGTTCGTCTGTGAAGGATCACGATGTACATGGTGCAAGTTGGTGTCGACATTTTTATGCCTTTCTGTTGCGTTTCCATCATTTTGTTGTCCCACAATATTCTTGTCCTTCTCGTCTGTTTCCATGTAAAATTGAAGGTCGTTTGTGCCATCGACAGTTTCAATAATTGTAGATTTGTTATAAGATATTTCAGGGTCTGTAGTTTTAGGAGGCTTATAAGAAACCGCTGAAGCTGAAACCCAGACCTTAAAAAAGTTTTCAACAATAAAATTTCGTATAGTAGGTATACATAACTGATGATAGTAAACACAAAATAATGTGATTTTACATGTAACATATGTTTTTGAAAATGGTATTTGGTCCAGATGTAAGGCCTGAAAACTATGGAACGAGGTAATATGAAATCTCAAAGGTTTATTTTAAAGGTTACATATAGAAATATATAAATAGGAAAATAATTAGAGATATGGGTTCATGTCGTTACAATTACTTTATGATTAAGTGTTTGTGAATCAACCCTACTGTATGTAGGAGTGCCACCGTTCAACAAATATTTCATTTCAAAGAACGTTTTTGATACAGTTTCGATACATCTAATCGTAAAGCAAATATACTTACATGAATCTCATCATCTTCTGGCACGAGTAAATTAAATCTGACACCACATAGACAGAAGGTAGGAGAGAGTCGACTTAATCGATACCAAATACTATTAAATGCTCTCTGACATGTAAAATTCAATCCTCGATTTAGAGCTCGATCGCCTGCACCCTCACGATACTTTATTCTCCATAACATTGAAAATGTCTGAAAATATTTAAAATTATACTGACTATAATATGGAGATGTATATTTATATAATCTTATTCACACAATTTGATTTGATTTTGCACATTTACTGGTAGCATGGTTGTATTGCAATACAGAAATATTCGAATCCTTATTTCAAATACTTCAATCTCTATTTCAACTAGGAAATTAATAATCAGATTTTAATATTTAGCGATGTGTTCCGACATAACAAAAATTGAAAGATGTTAAATGTAATATATTATGCAGCATAATATTCTTTTTTAAAACAATTCCATTGATATCTTATCATCAGCTTCAATAATTTTTCGATATTAAAAAAGACAGGATTCAGACAGGTTGCAAGTTGCAACAAACAGTATTGAATTTTTTGAAAGACAAAATGCTTCTGGTTCAGGTTAGCCATCCAGTTTCTATCATACTGTGTAGAACGTGCGGCCCTCGAAACAAGTTTTCCTATTTAGTTTAATCTGGTACGTGCAAGTAAAATCAAGTCTATACCTGAGCCTAATTTTTTTTTTATCTATGTCCATGGCGTTAGAATGCCCTAACAGCTAGCTTGAGCGAAGCTAAATCCCATGTCATAAGATAAATACGAAAATTTTTGTATCTGCAACTACTAGAGAGTCTATGTTAAATGAAGGTGCGGCCGGGGTTTCACTGAGTTATTTGTATTTGGCCTTCCTGTATTAACGGTTGCACAACCCTGGTTTAGAACATTGAACTTGTTTAGGTTTGGGAACCACAGGGTTAAATGTTCAAACTTATATATTAGGTACCTGGAGGTTGTTGGTGACATGAGGTAAGCCAGGCACATGTTGACAATTACTCATATAACAATGCAGAGGAGGTAATGGATCAATCATAGATCGTAACTGTTCTGCATCATCTGGGTCTTCAACCTGACATGAAAACATAAACGTTTAAAATGAGAATATTTTGTATATTAAAATTGGTGAATCCCTTCCTTAAAAGAACATGAGACATTTATCTTAAGGTAAAATAAACAAATACTTACCGATACGGGTAGAGACTGTTTACTTTCAGCAGATGAATTTAATAAATCAAGATTTTCCATTCTGCCTGACATGATAGAGTCCTTAGATAAAAAAAAATGACTATTAACTTGGGAAAAGAGCGAATAGACTGAGCTTCACAGAATAACAAGATGTAAACCCATAATAGCATGTCGACATGTCGTGGTTTGAATATAATTTGATATGTATAGCTGTCTAGTGTCTATAGTTTGGTATTTCAGAGATTTGCCATCATATTAAAAAATAAGAGTGTTTTTAACAATATAAATCTCTAGAAGTAGTCTTTCTATTATAATGCGCATTTTGAATTACTTTCCATGGAAGTCCTGTAAATTATAAAACTTGAAAAGATGCCCACAAAATCTTCCACCAGTGCAGAAAGTCTTAATTAAATAACCATACTTACAGTTGATGTTAAATCAAAAAATTCTTTATTCTTTTCCACTTCTGCGTGAAATAATTGTTCAACATTTTCCAAGGCTGCCGAACCATGTTTGACATTCTGGCCTGAGAGAAGTAAATGAAGGAAGGAATTTAATATTTATCCTAAGAGGAAAGCTGATAAGACAACTTAAGCATATAGCAAACCACGGTCTCCCATCCGGGTCAGAGTTTATGTCTAGCATAGGAATAGTTAACCATATATTTGTTTCAGATGTATGGACTTAATGGTGGAAAAAATCATAAACGACCAGTGGCTACGTGAACCACCCTGTGATGACGGGGAGTCCAGCAATCCTCCCGCACATAATTATCCACTGGAGGAATCTAACCTGCAAACAAGCGGAGGGTAATCACAGGTGCGATGGCAATTATATTCTCAATGCACAGCATGCCAAGTTGAAATGAACAAAACCAAAATAGTTTGAAAAATCAGTAGGCTTTTAATTCAATTAGATTTAATAAAAATATTCAGGTAGTAATCGAAACGTACAATTCAATTTTGGTTTCTCTGTAGGAGGAAGAGCAGTTACATAAGATGCTGTTGCCGTGGCTACACCAATAACTATGTTTTCTCCAATCTTGATTCGAACTTGAAGACCAAACAAAGCATTCATTCCTTTTAACTGAAAATATATAATTTTTAAATTACAAAAAATAATAACGTCACAAAATATTTACTTGTATAACAAGAGAAAAATGTTCAAATAAATCAGCGGTTTCCAAAGTTGGCTGACCGTGGCCAAAATTAGAAACGGAGGGATATATTCGCGGGCCGGGAGAGGGGAGCGCCTGCAAGGGGCTAATGCCCATACGTATAATTAAGATACCGGTATAATTGAATTGGTACGAATATAAAAGACTTAAATTGTGATAAAGATGTATTGGCGGTATCTAGAAGGTAAAATAGTAAAAACATAAAGTGTTGAACTATTTAACTAAAGTTCAGCGAGCCATATTAAATCGTGTCGATGGCCATAATTGGCACTATGCCAATATGTATTGGTACCCACAATTCGTCTTATCGAACTGACTCATACAAGCAAAGGATCAGGCCTATTTCAGTGGTAACTCTTATCAATGATATTCATCATACATACTTTTCTTACCTTAAGTTTATTGTACAGTTGTTTATGAAGTTCATATTCAATGAAAGGTAAAATATCACCAATAGCAGCCGCATGTGATTCACCTTGTGATTTCTTTTTACTTCGGCAAAACCTGTTCAGGAAAAAGTGCCCGAAGATTTTGTTAGATTTTGGTTTATAAAAGTTGGTTGGTTACCTTTGTAAGATACCCAATGGATTTATAAATATGACCATGTAGATTTTGGGAAGCAATGGTAGCTTCCATATGACAGAGCAAATTGTTGATTATCAATAAGTACTTTTTGTGATTACCAATGGTTTGTGTTTACCGATTTAATGGCTTGATGGATGACGCATTGTGTCAATTGTTAGAAACACGCTTTCCATCGTGCCCCTGATCACACAACCTTGGTTACACCTTCCTCAGTCATCAAGTCCATGCCTCTGTAACGAATAACTGGGTAACTGTTCCCACACTCGACATAAACTGAAAGTGAACAAGAGGCTGTGGTTCGTCATATGATTCAGTCGTCCCATCGCCTTTCCTCTCCCCGAAATAAACATAAAATTCTCCCACTAATAAAATAGCAATTGCACTACTGGTACTTTACGATACATAAATCACAGAAGACTATCCTGATGAAACTAGTAAATCTAATAACAGTGTACATCACAGTACATAATTTACTATATGAATTTCCTTCTTAGGAAAACATGCATAACTTTGCACAGAGTACAGTCCTACAGATTTTGATATAACAGTTGCTTCAAGGGAATTCACAAATATTCATATCACCTTGCCTGAACTATAGTTCCTTTTCCAGTAATGTGAACATCAGTAGGAATATCTATTGTTGTGAATAGAACTTCGGGTACCTGAAATATATTAATTACAAAGAATAATGATTTATTTAGATCTCAAAATCAGGTAGCAGTAGTATACCCCAACAAGATTAATTTTAATGTTTTAATAAACAACAGGCAGTTCACAACTGAAGGATTACAGCAAGACTAGAAAGTGTTTTTTATATGATAGTCAATAGAATTAATCATCACTTATCACCTTCATTTCTAAGCCATATATCATATCAATCGCATTGCTACCATATTTCAGCAGTTCGTAAAATCTCATGCTCAGGGTGAAATCAATATCAAATACCATATCATATCAAAAATATATAAAACATTGTGAAAATCTGCTTAGAAATAATTCTATCATGAATATTTCAAGTCATTTTGAAACTATCAACAAAGTATTATTTCTGTGATAACGTCTCACCTGAACACTTGTATCTAGTGGAGAATGATTTATAGCAATAGGAAAAGGAGCATCATTTTGGTATGGAACTTGAAACAATCCAGCATTAGATTGAGTGGGATTTAAAGGACTGCAAATACAAAATAGAAAGTTGTTTATATTTCATGGTTATCCTGAAAGAATGAAAAGTGGGCTTAACCATATTAAATTGTTGAATAAAATTCAAAAACGATCAGACTGAATGAATTGCATTGTAAAAAAAGGAAGACCATGCAGTTCTTTTATATAAATGAACTATGCTTTTTAAAAGACGTTCAAACGCGATCACACTTTTTCAATATGAAAATTTGCTCAAGGCCAATAGTACTCGGAAGCAAAAGAAGTGATTTCTGAAAGAGGTGGTTGATGCCACTATAGTGCCAAGTGCTATCGACACTATAAAGAATTATAGCGGTAAATTGCAGTTTAGCAAATACTAATTGATCTGAAACCTAAAGCAACTCCGGTCAATATGATCAGGAAGAGGGAGGGGTACGAGATAACAAACTGAAAGTTTTTGTTTGGTGGGTACATTCATTGGCAGTGAATGAATTAAATTACACATGTAAACATTACAGGAATGCATAGGCCGCAAGACTTCTTGATCATACAGAATTGATCAACATTACTATTATATTACTATTTCCTGATGCTAGACTGATCCGATTACAAAAACATTTAGTTAAAAAAATGTTCATCTAAGGTTTACATACAGTAACATTAATCATTCATTAGTTTTACATTCATACATTTTACTCCTGTTTACCTTGTAAATGACTGAGGAAATCCACTGGAAGGAACGCCACTGCCAGAATTATGCCGTTTCCTTGTGTTGATTCTTTCAAGTGGATGAGACGTATCAAGAACAATTGCTGCAGAATATGGTCCTGATGCAGCAAGTTTTTCTATTATAGCAATAAATTTGAGAATGTATTTCAAGCATTTATTATTTTATGATAGACAAAAAATTAGTTGACTTACAAAAAAATAAAAAAAGACTACCGGTAATTAAAACAATGTTAATCTCAATTATTCGGCTTAGCCAAATTTAAATCCTACCAATTTACAATTGTCTTGAAGAATTTCTCTTGTGGAACAGACCCATTTCAGAATATATTCGATATGTCATATTAGAAGAGATTATTTTAGAATGTATTCGGAACGTTTCAAAATTATTCAGTTTTGGCCATCTCTAGGGGTAACACAAAATCATTATACATGAATGTAGTGCCTGATAGTGGAGTATTGTCCATTTTATTTCATTTCCTTTGTATCATTGTTTGCTGTCAAAGCAAAGTTTGAAACACCTAAGTATACAGCACATAATGAAAGTTCTGATTACCCCCGAAGCAGATATAGGATTATCTATGAGCTTTTTATCAACTGTAATATCCCATCAGCAAATAGGTGCCACAAATATGAAGCAAATAATAATTGCGAAGTAGTGAAACAATTAGTACAAAGGTGTGGCAAGCAGAACTAAAATTCTCTGACCAAAAACATTCATACATCACTCATAATTTCAGCTATAAGCTAAAACAACAAATTTCACCTTTTATCATGGAAGTTTCGTTCACATGCTGTGTAGTTGCCAGAAGATTAGGATTGATCACTGCAGCAGTACCTTGTGCTGATAACACTATCAATTCATCACTGGAAACAAAATCAGAATTTAATTTAATATATCAGTAAAGGAGTTAACGATATGCTCTTTTGCAGTTGACTGTAAAATCGCAAAGATATGAAAGCTTGTTGTGCGGTAATAAATTAAATATGCTGTCATGACATGTCTTGTAATACAAATCTCCAATACGAGTCAAAAATTCGCCATCGCATTGAATATAAATATAAACAACAGAGCAATGCTCAAATATATGGACACAAATACCTAATAACTAACCGTAGTACCAGCAGCCTATGCAATTCAAACAAAAATGTGGCCGATCAAAGAGTTCAAAAAAGGACAATTGTGATGTATACTGTGAAGCCTTTTTTCCTCAATGATTAAGTCACCCCAACAACAAGTTTAACAACAACCGCAATTGCACAAAACGATCTATATGGCCACTTACCGTCTAATAAAATAATATTCAGATAATACTGTAAAAATGTTGCCCACATTGCACAAGCAATAACAACTCAGAAATATTCACTCTGTAAAACATAATTGTTGGATAACATGATCAGATGATAAAAAACTGATGAATACTATTATCATCATGAATATATCACAAAAGAAAATCAAGTACAAAAATTACCATATGGATGTGTACTCTCTATAACCAACTACAGCATTACATGAAAGTGCAGATGAATGGCTTATGATTTCTTGTCGAATTTCATGCCACCATGCATCTCTTGTTTCAGGAGCATCTAAATATATTGAATTTGTAGAAACTGAACATAAAAATAAAATACACAATTACATTTTTAGAAAAAAAAGACAAAAACAGGGAAAAAATGATGCCTTTTGTTTGAATGAGGTGCTTTACTGAATATAATGAATGTAATCTTTTTCATGCATTTTGCAATACAATAGAACAGGGCTACTTAACTATTTTTGCTAAAGGTCCGTATACAAAACTTGAAAATTCCTGGGGTCCGGTCTGGCCAGAAAATATATTTCATACTGCGGCTAACTGTATTTTAGTGACTCTATCTTTTCGGGTAAAAAGTTAAGGAACGCGAGTCGAGGAAAACTAAGTAACCGCAAAATATTCAACTTCCTTTTACATATCCAAAGCTAAATGGAGACACAATCCTCCAAAATCAAAAATCTGAAGCGAATACTTGAAAGGTCCGGATTCGGACCGTGGTCCGCCAGTTGAGTAGCCCTGCAATAGAAGTCCAACTTCATGTGAAAGGTTGTGGGACATATTTAGCCCTGTAATCTTTAAATACAATACTTTCAATGCTGAGGGAGAATCACGGATGGAGTAATTGGGAAAAGGAAATGTATTCTATTTTCATCATCATACCTGGATTGTGGATTTTGTCCAGCAATTTTACTGAATGAGCACTGACAACTCCTCCGAGGTGGATCAAGAAATTTGGTGGATATGTTGTCAATGTGAAAAATGGTGCTTCCTGAATGTTAAAAATGAAAAAAAGTGATGAATTATCTGGAAATGATTCATCAGCAATCATTGTTTGAGTTATAAAATGACCAAGTTTTTGCAAGGTAATCAAAGGTTAAAATCTTGGGTTAATTCCTAAGTCCACCATCTCGTCCAGAGTGTAATGAACTAGGTAGGCAATGCTGAACCAGAAAGATCCGATCCTTTCAAACTACAGTAGTGGCTTTCTATCTATCTGCTTGTGCAAAGCCAATAGCATATAATATCTTGTATGAAAAATATTCATTGCAACATTATGCGTCAAAGACCAATACAACGAGAATATCGGTCAGAGACTGAAGACTTATCGATCGAAAGTTAAGGGATCCCTCAAAACAGCGCTCTTACCGCATAGTGACACCTTGTGTCCCATCACTAATTAATTGATAACTCACTAATTATATGACATAATTCGCCCAAAATCAATAGCCTTCTGGTACGAGATTTGATGAATGCACATGCAAAATCTGCAGCAGATCCAATATCGCTTTCGTGAGATATCGCGTGCATCTAACAGACAGACCAGATCCAATATCGCTTTCGTGAGATATCGCGTGCATCTAACAGACAGACAGATACCTATCAACATACTTACCGATTAAAATCGATAAGTAAAGAATAATTTTTCATGCAAAAATAGTCAGAATATCAAAAGTCATCAACAATAAGTCTTTGAGGCATACCAAATTTTCCAATGCTTCACGTGCACTGTTTGTCGTATTCCATGACTGCCCAGGATGAGATGCATTTGGTGAAATTTTAGCTCCTGTATCTGAGTCAAGTGAAGAAGATCGGGGTGGAAAAGAAAACTGAAATCAATTTTAAACAGATTTTAGAATTGAAATAAAAAGTAATTACGGTAATAATATTCAGAAAAGGTTTCAGAACAATAATCAGGAATTTCTTTGTTCGCATCATAGAAATTTGCGATTATATCTTGATACTAAGTTATACTATGCCAGTGTTCAGGCAGTTCTTGAAACTCATGAAAAACAAATATCCAAACCTTTAAACAACTTTAGAACAACAAAATCATATTTTTGATAAAGTTGAACAGCGCAGAAAATCAAATCAATTCTTTAAAAATTTTATTCTTTGAATATAAGGTGAATAAAATATAAGGCCAACTACCTTAACTGGAGAATCAGATAACGGACTTGTTGTAGAAGGAGAAAAACTCAACAATGAAGTTGGAGTGCTAAATGAACAATTAGCAAAAATTAGCATTAGGCAAAAAATAAAAGAGCATAATCTCATTTGATTCCCAATAATACAATTTCACCAATTATTGTCAGAAACATAATCAAGCTACTTCAGGCTTAGTGGGAAAATGTAATTCAAATCTTATGTAATTCTAACTAAAACACATCTTATAGAACCTATAAAAAGCATAAGAAAACAGCAATCGCCTATCACCCTGTCCAACCTTATTGGCCAAAGGGCAACATTTAGTTTACAAATAATTGCGCGGGCAACTTGACATGGTTGTTATGTTCTAGTTTTTACTACACCGACTACAGGATAATGAAAAAACAAACACAAAACCCTCACACCAAAATTATAAAACCAATGAAAATACGAAGTTACAGTTGAGTGAAAAAAATTTACCACACATAGATATTTTAATGTCAAGTATGACACAGCTTTTATCTAATAAGTTTGTCAATATTCAGTGCGATGGACGATGTCGCGATGCATAGCGAATTTTTTCTATGTCAGAAATTAGTGATTTCACAGGGGATTTGACATGGTTCATCAGCCAAAAAATTGGCTCGTACAAGTAGCTTAAGTGTTGTCAAATGTTGAGGTCATAAAAACCGCCTCTTCTAGCTTCACAGAAAAACAGATTGAAATCCAGGCAGACGATAAAAATAAATTCAAACATCTATCTCCAGCAATAACGCTCACAAAGGGACTTTTGATAGCTGGGTGGTGCTTCCCTCGCGTTTGAATGAGAAGAATTAGTTATGTCATTAATGGTTTCGATAATGGCCCAGATTTGTGAAAGCCATTGGGATTCAAATAATACTGCGCGAGCCACTCGGAAACCATCGGTGGGCTACATGTGGCCCTCGGGCCACGGGTTGGACGACCCTGCTTTAAAGTAACTTATCCAACAGAACAATAAATATATAACAAAGAATAGAAGTTTGTTTTAAAGTTTTAACTCTCACCTAAACCAGGTATAATGCCCGTAGGGACTCATTTATTCAATAATACCACAATAAAATGGATTTTTTTTTAATAATATAAAATTTTAGCATACAATTTAGTATTTTCAATTTTTTTTTTGCATGAGATTTTTACCAAATCCACTCACGTTGGCAGAGGTGGTGGATTTAACCTGGATTGAGTTTCAAGAGTGACAGCAGTGCCAAACCCCCGAACAACGACTCCAAATTCTCCTTCTATATCAAAGTGTTGGTGGTATCCAACCACAGTATTTCCACCCATATCAATAACCTGATACGAAAAATAAAAATGTTAAAATAATTGCAATTAAATATTCAGTTATAAAATATAAATATGGGGAGTTAGATAAAATTGTACATAGAAATTCATATATAACAATGAAGCACTTCTTATATACAGGGTGTCCAAAAAGTTTCGCCCGATTATAAAGTCTTTATAATCAAATGTTTGTTTTTTTTTAATTTTAAAAAAGATTTATAGTCAAGTTAAAGTCAACCTATTTCTAATTGGATGTTATAGATGGCCCAGGGGTCTTTTTGGAGTAAAAACTTTCGAAATTTCAGAAGAACATAGTCCATTATATCATCTGTAATAGAAGCACAGTGATGCAAAATTTTTGTCATAATTTCAAGAACATATATTTTCAAGCAACCTTTGTTCCTATTCTTCGTTGTAATTCACCAGAAACTTGAGAAAACAGTCTTTGTCTTGCTTCATTAGTTGCACGAGGAGTTCGAAGTTTATCAATCCATTGATATTCTGGATCTTCACTCACGACAAGTTCTTCTACAAATCCCTGTATTATTGATATTCTGTAGCATTCAGGAATAACAGTACCTGGGTAAAAAAAGTGTTGATAAAGCAACTGGCATAGGAAAGTATAGCTTGATTTTGGAAAGCTTCGCAACTAGAAGTTTCAGTAAGTTTTCAATGATATGTTCATTATGTGCGACTAAACCCCTAATTATGGTCATGCATAGATCACATCAGTCTAATGAATCAATTCAGGAATCTGCGCCTGGAATAAATTTCCATAGCAGAAGAGGTAAGCGAAATAGGAACCGCAGTTAATTGTATTAGTCTTACGTCTTTTGCTGTACGAGTAACCCAACCTACTAGCACTTTAAATTTTAATATTGATATATCTTGATCAAAACCACCATTTATTTATTTATTAAGGAACCATTTATTTGAACTTGCGCTATTGATTTGGTTTGTGCGAGAATGACTACTTATTCTTCTTCTATGCTTTTGTGCCGGTGGATCCGTATGCATATAATGCAAGGATGCTGTAGCAAGAGTAAAGATAACAATCCTAAGTGATTCAGGAGTCTTACTGCACCCTAACACAAATATATTTCTGTTGTATGTCTGAAGAAGTCTGACCTTGGTCAGACGAAACGTTACAGAAATATATCTGTGTTAGTGAGCAGCAAGACTCTTGATTTACTTAGGACATTCATTTGAATATGTAAAAAAATAGGTAAGCAAGAATACTAACTCACCACATATGAACTTGATTCCGCATGAGGATTTTTTAAATCTATTGAAGTCAGCGAATAGTTCAATTTTTACAGAAATCAATATCTCTCCTCTTATACCTAAAATTACAAAAAATTATAAATTAACATTTCATATCACTTCATTGTCACTGACAATATTTCAGCAATAAGCATAATCAAGTCAAAAGTTTTCAGTTATGCTTCCTCATTTTGTTCAGATGAGTTTTCTTCGAGACCATGCTTCAATATTCACCAATTACATTTTAATCGGATAAGGAAATAATATTCCATTGAGTAACTGAGAAATATTCCTAACACTTTTAATATAAACAAATCTCATGAAAATGATAAGGAAAAAAAATTATGTAGTTCTTGATATTAATAGGCTCGAAATTGCGGTGAGAAGACAAAACTTACGACTCTTAAAGCTATATCGTATATTTAACTTACCAAAACAACATATTCAACAAACCAAAATACATACAGACATACCATGCATTGTGTCATATATAGGAAACCATCCATGTAAAGAATTTGGAGAATCAGGAACTAACAGTGGATCAATATCAATGTAAATCTTTCCTATTGCATCATGAGAACTATATGTATCATGGTCCAACACTCGTATCTGTAGCGGTTCATCTTGCAAATGCTCATCATCAACCTTGAAAAAGAATAGAAGAATGCATTCCACTTTCCGATTCTTCAGTTCTTATAATACAGTAATAAGCTTTTAATTACTTGTCTTTATCAATTATTCTATCAATTGTAATGCTGATTAAATTGGAAGATTATTAAAATACTGAAATATAAAAACCAGTTCCCCAGCTTTTTATTTTAGGGGGTGATAGACAACAGACATTTTGTTATTAGTGATAAATCACTTAAACCATGTTGGACAACAAAAATTGAATCTAAATGTATTTCAAAATTAGGATCACGATATATTTGGCCAAATAAAATGAAACGGTTTATTACCTCAAAAATGAACCATTCTGAGTTCCAAGAAGGATTGAGTGACTTTAAATAAACATCTGTTTTATAAGTCGTATTGCCAAATTTGACCTGTAAAAGAACAACGTCTCGTAAATTTAAGGCTGAATATACGTTACCGGAACAAATTTATAAGTAATTCATGCTGTGGGTCCTGGGGTCTGGTATAGTTTAGTACCACATCCACTTCTAGTTGGCCTGGCTCAACAATTTTTGCATATGTCAATCCTAACCCCCACCTGACTACGTCACCGAAAAATTACGTCATTCCGACGTCACAGTGGCGTAATAAGGCTCACCGAAGTATGCGGATGGTCGTCCAAAACGCGCAGACGATAACCCGAAATCGAGCAAGCTATTTCTCTCGTTTTCTCGTCGCAACGATCACGATAGGAGAGAGATCGCCGGCTTTAGCAAGATGCCATTTCGGGCGATCGTAATTATACTTTGGCAATCCCTATGACGTGATGGTGACGACGTAGTGAAGTAATTTTTGGATGGCATAGTCAGGTGAGGGTTAGGAATAACATATGCAAAAATCGTTATGCTACGCCCACTGGAAGTACTTGTGGTACTAAACTATACTAGACCCTCATGCTGTTTTACAGGCAGACCTGCAGACAGGTAACTTACCTCAACAAATGCATCAGTTAGTTCAGATGCCCTGTCCATAACAGGCAAGTGACGACCAGATAAAATTTTGACTTTGAGGCGACCTGGCATCTTATTAGTGCAACAGCCCAGTCAACAAATATAATTTTTTACTGTAGTGTACTGGTATGTAGTCTTTACCTCTAATACTGTATTACAGACGTGATGATCATGCGCATTGAGCAATTTGTATACGGCGGTATGAAGTGGATGGAGTTTGTAATTTAATGAGTAAGAATCGTATAATAAAATAACAATTGAATATACAATGGATTCGTTGACGCATCGCAGCACAATAGCTTCTTTTTTATTTGTATAATACAATTTTTCTAATATCTCCAAGTATAGAATTAACCTAAGTGGTCATTTTCCAATAAAACGTTGGAAGTCGACTCTACACACCACAATTTTGCAAAACAAACGAATGCCACATGTGCTGCACTGCTGCAAACCAGCTGTCCAGTGTTTGTAAACAGATCCGCGCCGGGACATGTGGTAGAGTTTTGGAACAGCAATATATAGATGCTTTTCAAAACAATGTTGCATGCCGCCATAAAAATAAGATCATGCGATTAGATTCATCAAACGACAAGTTCTTGCAAATGCCCTTTTTCGAAATTCATTTGTACAACCAGTTCTGTCAATAGCGAAATGCATGATAAAATGGCAGCAAATCACAAAATCAGAGAAAAAGTTTATTTCATTTTGTCAAACCAAGAAAACAATATAGGCATACATATATCAATATCAAATAAACCAATGAGCATATATAATTATGAGTACTGTATATATGCTCATTGAATAAACGGATCGGTTTTCGGTACATGACTGGGTGGCAACGATACGACCTTTGGAGTGCCACCCAATTCAATTGAATGAGCTTACAAATAACAGGTTCTGGCTCAATATATCAATACCTCTAATGTTTGTTTACTATATACAATATTTACATGTTTATACCATTTTAATTATAAAAACAAAACTATGATACCGGTATACCGTTCTTTTAACTAACCGAATTAACCACATATTGAATTTGAAAAAATAAAAATGATCGAAACGAAATAAAACTCAGGTACGGTATTCAAAGATACGAATTATTTGGGTAACCGTCTGGTCAATGTCGGTATGGTTAACCAGTCGTTTCAGGCTCATGGATTTGATGGTATATAGAGGACTTGCACGGGTCACGTGACCTTGTTACTGGACGGCAATAAAACAAAAACGTCCATTTGGCTCCTGTCAGTTGCAAGTCGGATTATACGTTTCCGTTTTGTTTGGCTGTTGAAAATGGTTATTTCGTGTTGTTCCGCTGGCTGTACGTATAGTATAGACAACGAAATGGATCTTCAGCTATATTCCACTGTTTTCAAAAGATCCGGAACGTCGCGCAATGTGGATATCATCTATTCGCAGGACTGCTTGGTGTCAAGTCCAGAAGCCATCTTACTCGTGTTTCACTGTTTGCGGACAGCACTTCGTTGATGGTGAGTCATGATGTGCCGTTATCAATTTTTTTAAATATTCATAAGCTCCCTCATTTCAATGGAAAGCAGATGACAAACTACTGTTATTGGTAGGCTTAGGCCTACTTGCAGAATTGACTCGTGTAAGGTATTAATCAATAATTGCCATAAGGTATTGTTTCCCTAGTTAGCAGGTAATCTATTAGTAAGTGTGAAAATTTGAATAGATAACTAAAGTTTAATGCCAGTGCTAATGCAAAAAATAACCAGAATTTAATTGAATTCTCTATCTGAGAATATGCTCGCCACCGCATCTCTGATCCCCATGGGAGTTTCACAGGTTCCAATCCCATGCGGGGATAGGTATGTGCGAGGGGACGAGGAGATTGCAGCTCTCCTCCCACTAAGCGTGGTTCACACGACCGCTGGTCGATTACGACATCCCCCACCATCAAGTCCATGCTTCTAAAACAAATAACTGGCTAACTAATCCCGACATAGAATGGTAATCGTACGATGTTGCACCTTGCAATCTGTCCCCAACCACAGATAAATTCTATCCTAAAAACTACCCACATTGTTAGGCATAGTTGCGTTTTAAATTGAAAGAAATCTTCATCAATGGTCAGAAGGTGTTGTCTGATTATTTTGGTAGTTAGCAGGTAATTTATTACTGATCTGATACACAAACTTGGCACTGTCAAATGATGATTAGTGTTTAATTTATTTTCAGGAAAAAGGGAAGATAACCCATTATCAGCTGCTTACATGTCCCATCGATATTTGAATTTTCGCCATCCCCAGAGAAGAAGAGAATAGTTAGAGAAAGGAGGATTTTGAAGAAAGGAAAAAGGCAGGACCATTTCAACAAAATCTGTTAACTTGTATGCGTTGCAATATTAATTCGCAGTTGTTAGCATAAACATTTAATGTGTCTTTCGACTAGACCTACCACACTTTAAAAAAAAGCCGCCTACACCCCTTTTCACTAGAACCATAATACTGTAAAATATTTGATAGAAATTACCCCCGAGGCATCATATCTTTCATTTGAAAGGGCTGTGGAGGCAGATACATTTTTTACTCTAAATTATGGAATGTTACTTCCAGGTTATCTTATCCTTGCTTATAGATATCTTGAGGTTAGTGACTCCAACTGACCCATGCATGCCACACTGAAAATTCTCTTGTGTACCCATAAAATAAGGCTGTTGGAGCCTTCAGACCTTGAAAACAGTCGAATCTGAGCACGATGGATTCATGTGAAACACATAATACACGTAATATGCATTTAGAGGAAAAATATCCCATCCTGAGCAGCACCGATCCACAACATCCTGCCTATGGAATCAAAACATTAGACAAATTGGTGTACTGTGCGCATTCACAAATTTTTGCGAATCAAGTGTGCCTTTTGACTAAAGAAAATTTAGCATTGAAATGGTCAATCTCAATATCAACCTAGTATCTGCAGATAAAACCAATTGTTTTTTAAAAATACATTTTTGATGTGCTTTATTTTTCAAATATAATTTATAATTACTGTAAAGTGTGTGATACATTTGGTACCATGAATACTATTTGCAAATTAGCTTGGGTTACACCCCTCTCAAATAAAAGTTTAGACTCTTAAGTCGTATCTCATAATATTCTTTAAACAAAAGGTTGCGGCTAGCTGGCTACCCATCAGAATTTCCTTTCAGATCACAAAGTCGCAATATTACGCCTCGCTTAAGTTTCATTGGCAACTGTATCTGGTTGTAGTATCGGTGTCCAACGTTAGACTGAAACCTTCACGACCAAACCCACCGAAGCAATTTTTTTTTCTTGATAGGGTCGTCTCCACCAATCCACAGTAATGACAAGTTACTTTGTCATTACGATAAGCATCAATAAATGGATACTGAGGATGTATTATCAAGTCACGCAAGCTGAGGTCTTGTGCCACTGTGGTCTTGTTGCAACTTATACTTTGCCATCCATCTATTCCATGGTCGCACCCATATCTGTAAGATAATGGATACAGATAAGAGTTTTCATAAAATCCAACGATCAAGGAGTGTGAAATTTAGGGCTGGGAGCCAGTTATTTGTTTTCAGAAGCATGGACTTGGATGGTGGACTTTGGTGGTGAATGGTCGTAACCGATCAGCGGCCATGTGAACCACCCTCGGTGGGAGTGGAGCTGCAATCCTCTAGCACATAACTATCCCCGCATAGGATTGAAACCTGTGAAACTACCAGGGTGATCAGAGATGCGGTGGCGAGCGTTTTCCTAGATGGCGAATTAAATTGAATTCTGGTTATTTTTTGTATGACCAGTGGTGTTAAACTTTAGTTATCTATTCAACCTTTCACACTTAGTAATGGATTACCTGCTAATCAGGAAACAATACCTTACAGCAATTGATTATTAATTCCTTACTGTCTTACACAAGTCAAGTCTGCAACTGCAAGTAGGCCCACGCCTAGGCCTACTAATAACAGTAGTTGATTATTAGATTAATTTCTTTACTGTCTTACACAAGTCAAGTCTGCAACTAGGCCTAGGCCTACTAATAACAGTAGTTGATTATTAGATTATTGATTATTAATTCCTTACTGTCTTACACAAGTCAAGTCTGCAACTGCAAGTAGGCCCACACCTAGGCCTACTGATAACAGTAGTTTGTCATCTGCTTTCCATTGAAGTGAGGGAGCTTGTGAATATTTAAAGAAATTGATAACGGCACACTATCACCACATTATCACTCACCATCAACGAAGTGCTGTCCGCAAACAGTGAAACACAAGTAAGATGGCTCCTGGACTTGACAGCAAGCAGTTCTGCCAATAGACAATAGATGCTATCCACATTGCGCGACGTTCAGGATCTTTTGAAATCAGTGGAATATTACTGAAGATCCATTTCGTCCATGTCTATACTATACGTACAGCCAACAGAACAACGAAATAACCATTTTCAACAACCAAACAAAACGCAAACGTATAATCCGACTTGCAACTGACAGGAGCCAAATGGACGTTTTTGTTTTATTGCCGTCCAGTAACAATGTCACGTGACCCGTGCAAGTCCTCTATATATCTATGAGTGAGCGACACATGCCCTTATCTTTGCATTAACTTTCCTTTCTTCATAGTAACGTTTTAAACCTTATTTTAGGTTTTGTCTGCTTTCCCGAAGTTTCTGTTAATATGTCATTGTATTTATCTGGGTAAATATTGCCTTTCCTTTTGAAAGAGGTTTCAAAATAAACTATGTCTATATTTAATAATCCCTTGACTTGGACCGGTTTTAAAGACACTTTCTTATCGTTAAAAATTGTCGCTTTTGCCGATTGGTTGTTACCGATGGAATGGTTTTTATACTCATAAAATGATGGGAGAACTTACAGCGCTCATCCTGTCCCCGTAGATGGGGGTGACTTGGTCCCGCAGTAGCTTGCCCCGGTTGTCAAAATGACCACGCGCCGCCACTGGCCCTACCGTACTATTTATTACCACAGCTTATGGCGACCCACTTAACTTTAATTTCGTTGTTTTTTATGACATAACACAGAACACAGCAATGGCTAATCATTGCAAAACTACCGTGTTTCTTCGAAAATAGCACCTGGCCTGAAAATAAGATAATAATTTGAATTTTCAAAATAATTTTAATTAAACCCTACCCTTGAAATAAATTTAAAATGTGTGGGAGAGGATAGGTTCATTGGCCTGAGGTAAGGTGAAGATCACACCACTATTCAAGATCGTGTGATATGGATGGATGTCGGTTTTTATATAATGTTTAGTAAAAAATCTTGTGATTTTCTACAATGTGATTTTATTTTTGATAATTGAACACAAAAGACCTCTTTCAAAAACAACCATAGTGATATTCTTCAAAAGAAAATAAATTTAAATCCTGTCTAAATTTCGGGGAAACAC